GTGAATGTTTAGACCAGCTAGGCTTCAAAAGTTTGCGGTCCTAGCTTACATGTGACTGCAGCTGCATGGAGGATTCTAAACAAGAACCGTCTTACCGAGCCCTTTCTAACTTCCCAACCTACAAAATCATGAGCCAAAGAAAATGGCTCTCAAATTAACACCACTAAAGTTTGGGGGTAATTTGTTTTATAATAGTAGTAACCAGAATGTGAAATTGAGTGATCATTTGGTCAACCTTCTCATATAACAACTTATTCCTACGAGTAAGCAAATGAAAACTAGGGAAAGGTCTGGGTTTCTTTTTACTTATTTATTTTTATGTGGTGCTGAGGATCCAACCCAGGGTCTCACACGTGTGAGGAGAGCGCTCTACAGCTGAGCCACAACCTCAGCCCCAAGGCCTGGGTTTCTTGACTCCCAGTCCCAGTGTACCACACTGCAAGGTACTGACAAGAAGGGTGCCAGTCCTCTCCCACCCTATCCTCCCTCTGTTAATTCCATGTAGCAGGTATGAATCAAGTAGTCTGAGTGCCTAGGATTGTGTTAAACACATGAGAAATACACAAAGAAGGATCAGGCCAGGCAGGGGTCTCAGTCTCATGGAGGTAGTCACATCTGACTTGAAGTAGCCCTCCCGTGGCATAGCCACCAGTGCCAGACACACTGGCTTAGTTGGGGGGAAACCTGGGAGAAGGGGAGAATGTCTGTCATTCAACAAACCAGCAAACCATCATGAGGATTACTCTGTGCCAGGCAGAGTGTCAGCTGTGCAGCAGAAAGACGGAGTGAGGGTCTGTCCCCAGGCTTCCAGGGTCAGAGCTGGCTGGATTCCAGGTCTCTCCCTTCCTGCCCAGGGCTGACCCACAAAGGAAGGATTCCTGGGTTTCATGAGCAGCCAAGAGGATCCTGAGTTTGGTCTGCATCTCCAGGCAGCAGCTTCCCATTTCCCCAGGACATTGCTGGAGGGGACTGGGCCCATTAGGACTAATTAACTACTCTAATGGAATGAACCAGTTTTACTGGAATTTAGTCTGGGTGGGAGGATTCTGTACTTTTCTAGATGGAGAAATGCTGAGTGCCAAGAAGTCTTGCCAGCTGGGACCTAAGTTAATGTGTGTGTGTGTGTGTGTGTGTGTGTGTGTCTATGTGTGTGTGTGTCTGTGTGTGTGTTGGGTGGTAGAGGTGATTTCTGGGCCTAGGCTGGTCTCCAGCCCAGCAGCCTTGAACAAAGAGGCCTCTTGGCACCTGGGTCCACTCTGCTGGCCCTGGTCCTGTGACCGCCACAAACACTGTTCTACATGCAGAGGCCACATGGGTCCCCTCATTTTTCTCTGGCCTTGGCCCAACTGCAGTCATGGCTCTGCCTTTCAGGTTCACTGCGGCTGTTTAGGCATGAAATTCCTTAGTGGGCATGTGCCTGTGAGCTGGCTCCCAGGTTCTTTCTAACCCTATGACTCTAAGGCCATGGTTTATGAGGCCTTAAGTCCTGGTCCAGCCTGAACCTGTGGTCTGTATCTTTCTGGCCTCTTCCCTTTACGAGCTGGGCCATCAGAGGATGTGTTTGGAGTTACCCAGAGCCCCAAATACAACTTCAATCAGATTTTCACAGTAACCCAACTGTACCTTCAGTCCTTGGTCACAGCCATCTTAGCTGACCTTCACAAGGCCTGGATGACTCTGGGCAGCCCTTTAAGGTTAGGTTCTCCTCGGAGCCCTTATGGGAAAGCTTTCATTTGATTTGGAACCTGGGGATCTCTGCAGGATGCCTGGAGGTGGGGTGGGAGGACAACAGGCTCCCAGCCTTCTCCTGCCTACCTTTCTCCCTCCATGAGAGGACAACATTATTGCCTGGTGATAATGTTTGATAAAGAAATCCAATTAACCAGAATAAGAGGGAGCAGGGTATGCTGGGAAAGGGTGCTGGCTCCTTGGCCTGGACCTGAAGGAGGAGGGGTTGGTCCCTGGCAGGAGCTGGAATGCCAAAAGGGGGAGGTGTGAGTGCCAATGGCTATTACCTTACTCAGGCAGACATGGGGGCTGCTCCTTGGCCTGGAATCCCTCAAAACAAATGCGGCCAAAGAAGGAGGATAGAGAGGAGCTTAGATGGCTCCTGTCATCCCCCAAAGAGGCTGAGCCCACATACATCCCCCCTGTAGAGAAAGTGTAAATGGCTTTGATTTCAGTCTCAGTTTCCTTCAAGGAGGGTCCAGCTTTAGTATTCAGAGAGCAAGGACCTTCTCTGCAGGGCTCTGGAAAGGTTTGACATCCTCCATCAGTGTCATTCTAGAATCAAACATTATCCTCTCTCCTTCTCTTTGGCAGTACTCCTAACCCTGGGGAGGGAAACCCACTGCAGCTGATACATTAGTGTGAACTGACTTCCAGGCAGATGCTGTTCCCTATAGCCAGGAGAAACAGGGTGCCCAGGATAGGAAAGTGGTGAAAGGTGAGCAATTCAATTTTCCAACTGTGACTGCTTGTGTCTTGCCTAAGCCTCTCAGTTATCAAGGTCTTGGAGGAATGGACAGAACAGACAGAGTCCTGGATGATAGTCTTGTGTGGGGTTCTAGGATCAACAGGACGCCCAGGATTAGCTGCACTCCATACCACAATAGTCCCCTTTTCTACTCAACCATCGCAGTCCCAGCAGAGGGTAAGGTCTAGGACCAGGCCACCATAGCACCACCAGAGGGCAGCACCCTCCCACCCACATTAGGCTGGCATCCAGCTGGCAGGCAGGGGGCTCTTTCCATCCTGGGGTTTGTGTTTTCAAAGAATAGTATGACCTCACACACACACAAGCCCCATGATGCCAACTGTAACATACAGACTCCCCTAGAAAAGCCCACAAGGGCCCAGAGAACAGATTAGTCCAGAGCTCTAGAATAAAACCTTCAGCAAGTGGTAAGGCCTTCTCTGGAAGCCTCTTGTCCCAGCTAACTTCTCCAGGAGCTGACCAGGAGTCTTCCTCTTAGTGCACCTGTACCTGACTGCCTATTTTCCTTGGCTACCTCTGGTTATCCTACCCCCATACCAGCTTTCCCATCTCCTTCCCTTCCCTCCTGGCCTCCTTCCTCCCCGGCAGTGTTCTCCTTCCCCCCTCTCTCCAGGTGCTCATCACCAGCCAACAGCACTGCGGAATGGAAGCTGACTGGGCAGAGGTTTCCTGGGGAGGCTGTTTAATTCACGGATGTATGTCCAGTGCCTGGAACAGCTTTTGGCAGGCAGTAGATGTTCAATAAATATTTATTGATGAATAAGTAAATCAGGTGTGGGGTGCTGTGATGGACTTTCTTCCCCATTCCCCACTCTACCCCCCCCCCCCTCCCCCTCCCCCTTTTCTCAGAATGACCATCAGCCAAACAGAAGAATGGAAAGCGATGAAGAGACTACAAGGGGCTTGCCAGGACACAGTCCAGAGGGGACTTTACAGTCATCATTGCAGTTAACTCTTTGATATCCGCCCAGCAGTTTTTCCTTTTGCACTCTAGCTCCAGCTAGTCCTGGGTCTTCTCTTCCCAGTCAGGTTTGGAATAGTTCTTTTCACTGCAGCAAACTCAAGTCCACCTAAACTCTGAAATGCAGACATTAGGTCTGAGGAGAGGAGGGACTAGATACCAAAGGATGTCAGCAAATGTATTTTTCTGACTACAGAAGGATTGTACCCACCTCCCCTGCGTATTAGTACACATCATCAAAATCCCCATCCTTTTGGTTTTTAATCTCATTAATGATGAGACTTTTGCTTATGAAAATCCCATACATTTGTTCTGGGCTTCTAACCTTTCCTGAGAACACTCACAAGCCCTTGTCTTGTTCTTCCTGGTATTCTAGGTCCTGCCTCATCTGGAAATTGGATGGTGCACAGTTGTTCAGGGCAGGTGTATCCATCCGTTTCCATTTCTGCTTTAAAATCCTCTGCATATCACCCAGATAGACATGGAGGCTGGCTGAAGCTGTGAGGGAGAGCTTAAAGATGTAGAAGAGGTCCTGGGCTTAAAAACAAATAAAAACAAATGAATCTGGAAATTGATTTTGGGACAGGGCCAGCAAAGTCCAGTTGGTGCCTAATGTTTAGGGTATGACAGCTTCTCAATCACTTAACAAACAGGTTCTGAAAGGCAGGCACTGTTGGTGCGATCAAGATGAAAAAGCACAGTGTGGCCTGTAGGAGCTCAGGTCAGGGAGGGGCAAGGAGACAGAACCACAGGACAAGCCAAACTACAAGAAGTGAAACAATCACAGGACCAGGACACAGTCACAAGCCACTTTCCATGTGCTCTCCAGGGAACTGTAAACCATTTAACCTAAAGATGGGTCGGGGCCACCACCTCACACTCATACAACATATTTCTTCATGGGCAATACCAGGGTTACAATTTCCCTACGCTCAGACCAGACGCTGCTTCTTTGCCCAAGCCGCTCTGTCCCCCATTCCATGGCAGAGGCTGTGGTGACTGGGACAGTGGCCACAAGCATCAAGACTACAGGCCTCCAAAGCACAGGATGGGGGCACGGTGGTCAGGAGTCCCCAAATTCGGTGTTTGGAGCAGTCTCCTCCTCAAGACACCGTATCTTCACTCTCATCCCAGTCTTCAGTTAGCCGCAGTGAAACGGCAACATTGCAACCAGCGTTGCGTGGAGGGGGGGCGACAGGCTCAGCAATAAGAGGTGGGCAGAGGTTAGAGGTTAGGGAGTGGAGGGCGCTTGGGTGTCACCCGGGCTGCAGTGGGAGGAGCTGCTAGCTCGGGGGAAGCCGGGAGCGGGGCCCGGGAGGCGGAGGGAGGGGATGGTGGCGGAGGCGCGCAGGGGCGGCGCGCAAGGCTGGGCACTGGCGGCGAGGGGGTTACGCGCCTCGGCTGGGCTCCGCTGCGCGGAGGAAGGCTGAGCTCGGCCGCCGGGGCCCTGCAGCTAGCCGGGTCGGCCCTGCGCCCCGCCCCGCCCACCCCTCCCGGCGGAGGGCGCGCCCAGGCCAGGCGGGACCCGGAGGAAAAGGCGCCACTGGAGCGCGGAGTCCGCTGTCATCGCCGGAGGGAGACGCAGAGCCCCCTGAGTCCTGGTCTACCGGTGCCCAGGCGCCCCCTTCCCGAGGCCACCTAGCGCCCGCCCCCTGCCGCGAGCCAAGGCCAGCGCCCCGCCCGGAGATGGGCAGACGCGTAGATGGCGCGGCTCCCGGCGCCGCCAGATCGCAGGAGCCCGGCGCCGGGGCGCTGCGCTGAGGCTCCCGCTCGGCGCGGCCCCAGAAGCCTGCAGGTGTCCTTGGCCTCTCGGCCGCCGCCGGGGAGACTCCTTCGCCAGCACCTAGAGCCCCGCTACCCGGAGCGGCCCCGCCCCCCAGGCTTGGCGCCGCGCAGGACGCCCCGTCTGAGGCCCCCCCGCCGCGGCGCGGCCCCCGCAGCGCAGCGCCCAGCCCAGCGCAGCTCCCAGCGGTGGATGCAGGACCCGAGGCTCGCTCCTGCGGGCGCGCTTGTTTTCTTACAGTCGCCTCGCCCTGCGCAGCCCCCACCCGCTGGTCCGCTCCGCTGCGCTCAGCCCCTCCCGCCATCCTTGCCCAGCGCTGGATTTATGAATGGGGGGAAGAGGCCACATGCCGCCGCCGCCGCCTCGTGTTGACCTCGCGCAGCCCGGGCCCGCCGAGCTCCGGCTGCCCTGAAATCGTCGGCCCGGCCCCGGCAGCCGCTCGGAGGACTTGTTGCTGCTGCGCTGCCGCCGCGGAGAAACCGGCCGCTCCCGGGCTCCGCGCGGTCTGGGAGCCGGAGGGTGGCTCTTGTGAGTGTGAGCGCGCGCGTGCCCCGGACCCTCGCAGTGTGCCGGGACTGAGCACTTCTTGGTCTTTTGTCGGGTGAGGGGGGGCGTGTCCCTGGCCCGGAGCGGGAGTCTGTGTGTCCCGTCCTAGCCTGCTTGCCGCTACCTCCCCTGGCCCCTTGCTGAGTCCTCTCTGCACCTCCTGCCTCCCGCCCCAGCGTTGCCTACCCAAACCCCAACCACCTGTGCGCCCGAGAAACCCAACTCCTCCCGCTACGCGCCCCGGGGGGAAGACAGGGGCAGGGCCAAGCCGCAGAGGGGGCCGCCGCCGCCTCCTGCCTCCTGCCTCCTCCTCGTCTCCTCCCCCTCCCCCGTCTGACGCTGCCTCCTCTGGAAGGGTGTTTGGAGGGCAGCGGCCGCCCCAAGCCGGAGCCCCGCAGCGCTTCTTATGATCAGCTCGGTGTGTGTCTCCTCCTACCGCGGGCGCAAGTCGGGGAACAAGCCTCCGTCCAAAACATGTCTGAAGGAGGAGATGGCCAAGGGCGAGGCGTCGGAGAAGATCATCATCAACGTGGGCGGCACGCGACATGAGACCTACCGCAGCACCCTGCGCACTCTGCCGGGCACCCGCCTCGCCTGGCTGGCTGATCCCGACGGCGGGGGCCGGCCGGAGTCCGATGGCGGCGGTGCGGGCAGCAGCGGCAGCAGCGGCGGCGGAGGATGTGAATTCTTCTTCGATCGGCACCCGGGCGTTTTCGCCTACGTGCTCAACTACTACCGCACTGGCAAGCTGCACTGCCCCGCCGACGTGTGCGGGCCGCTCTTTGAGGAGGAGCTCACCTTTTGGGGCATCGACGAGACCGACGTGGAGCCCTGCTGCTGGATGACCTACCGCCAGCACCGCGACGCTGAGGAGGCGCTCGACATCTTCGAAAGCCCAGACGGGGGTGGCGGTGGAGCGGGGCCCAGCGACGAGGTCGGCGATGATGAGCGGGAGCTAGCCCTGCAGCGCCTGGGGCCGCACGAGGGAGGCGCAGGCCCTGGCGCCGGTTCCGGGGGCTGCCGCGGCTGGCAACCACGCATGTGGGCACTCTTTGAGGATCCCTACTCCTCCCGGGCGGCCAGGGTAAGTGTCAGGAGTCCCGGTCTCCCCTTCTCGTGTCTGCAAGGGGCGCGTGGTGGTGGTGGGTAGGGGCAGAGCAGAGCCCAACAGGACTAGCTTACCACCGCAGTCTGTTCTCACCTCCCTCCCAACTCCCTCCAGGGCCCTCTGGGGAATTACACACTCCCACCCTCTCTCCTGCACGCTCCATCAGGAGATTGCACACACTTGACTTACTACTTGGACCCAATCCCAGCTGCCTTGCTTTGCTGCATCCCCCCAGGGAGTGGGGTGCCCACAGCTCTTCATCCCTTCTTTGGTTTGCACAAGCCACCCCATCTTCAGCTGCCCTCCACTCCTCCACAGGGCCACAGCCCTGGAGAACTAGAATTGCCTTCTGCTGGGGTGAGGCAGGACTAAGAGAAGAAAACTGGGATTTTCTTTTCTTTCTTTTTTTTTTTTTTTTTCATTTTTGTTAGATGCTTCCTTTCCATGTCACCCCACTTAAATCCTGCCAACATCTCTGTGAGTTGGCAGCTATGCATTTTAGAGAGAGGGACAGAGCCTCCGGCGTGCTGAGCTTAGGAGAGGCAGAGCTGAGACCAGAACCCAGGCCTCCAGTTCAGGTGAGGAGGGGCCTTGGTTCTTTGGGAACAGGCTGTGCCCCAAGGCTTCCTATATACCTGAGCTGCCTGGCCTCAGCTGGGATAAGCCGGGAGTTAGACCGGAAGGGCTTGCTATTCTAGGCTCCTCAGGCTCCCACTGCCAAAGGCCAGCCACAGGCTTCCTGGTGATGATGCCAGATTTGTTGCCACTACTTTTCTTACTGCTGCTGCATAAAGTGGCTTCCCAGAAAGCCCTGGTTCAGGTTACTGTTCCAAATGGGAGTGTGAGGGGGAGGGGGAGTACAGGTTTATTTAGGCAAGGTCTAGTCCCTCTTCACCACTTTCCCTAAATTAATCTGGTCTTCCTTAACCCTTATAGGTGGGAGGGGATGATCAGGGGATCCCTGTTATGCTTGGGCAGCTAAAACCCCAAAGGATGGCTTTAGAATCATTAAAAAAGAAAATTGTCCAGCCAATGTCTTATCTCAAGGCCACAGCCTAAAGCCTGGCTGGGGTCTGTTTGGGAGACAGGAAAGAGCCAAGTGATCTGATGGGTCTGGGGACTGCTTGTTGTGAAAGCTGGTTGGTATCTCTGGCATACCAAGTTGTTATGCTAATGAGTCTCAGGGCCCTGCCGCCCCCCCCCCCCAGCATTGCCTGGACTGCATCTCATCCTAATCATGGAAGGAAAAGTTCCACTTCCCCACCCAGGGGAGGACAGAGGGTTGGGGAATGGGGCTGCAGGTAGGGGCTAAATTGGCATAAATGCCAGACCAAGGCAGATGCGTCCCCTGTCTGGAATAGAAGGGAGGAGCAGAGGTCTCAGGGGCTATGGCATGCTGGACTGGGGCTGCAGGCAGCCACTAGAAGTCAGGAATCTTTTTCAGCTCTCTTCCCACCACAGCTGCCTTGGTGTCTTGTCCTGAAGCCCTGAAGCCAGCTCAGAAGATGTGGGCACAGTAAGGCCCCTGGCTTGGGTCTGCTGTGAGTTCCAAGGGCGTCACATGCAGTTCACTGACCCTGCTAGTGTTGGCTCTTGGCTGTCTGCACCACGGGAGAGTGACAAGCCCAGATCATTCAGACTCTTTCAAAGTTGCTGGACAGGAACGAGGCAGGTTTAGCCTGATAGAGATGGGGAAAAGGGACAAACAATTGAGGAGGAATGACAAGAGGTAGTTAAGAGAAACAGGGAGGTAGGTCCTATTTCTGAGCATTCTGGTGTCTCTGGGGACTTTTCTCCGGGTTCTTCTTGCCAGGATTGCAAGGGGATGCACCATCAATGAGCTTATTTTCTCCTCAACCCACTGCAGAATGGCCCAGCCAGAAGCCACTATCATTAAGCTTAGAGCCTAGTGTGATCCTTGGGGGTCCTCCAGGGACCCAAGATGCTTTGTCCTTTGGGCATGAATCATTTCAGCTTGGGCATTCCCGCTGAGGTCTGAAGTTTGGGGTAGGGCAGGATTAATTCTCCCAATTCATCAGTGAAGAAACCAGGATTCAGAAACATGTGTCTTGCCAAAGACACTTAAGTAATAGAACCAGCAAACCACCCTTAGTTTCCAGCCTTCGGGTTGTTAGTACTGATGTGAGGAGCTGTATGGAGCTCTGACTGTCGCGTGTGCCAAAAGAAGACTTGCCTGTTGCCAAGGAATGCAGGCAAAGGCAAGCCTCAAGCTGCTCCTGGACACACAGGTGGAAATACTGAATTTTAACAACTAATAACTGCTATTCACTGGGTACCCTGTGCAGACATTTTGCTATACATACTTTACATTAATCTCTAATCCTTCCAATCCTTCCAATGAATTTACAACAAGGCTATTATTCCCATTTAACAGTGTGAGGCTGTGAGCAGGTATTCAACTGGCCTGAGACCACGCAGCTAGATAGTGGCCAAGCTTTGAATCACAGCCAGAGCGCCCTGACTTCGAAGTCCTTGCTCCTGTGGTCACGAGGGTCTCTTCCCACTGCTCCAGGCTATTTGCAGCATGGAGAGGTGCCTAGTTTTTTGCTCTGACCTGCAGGGTGTTTTGAGGTTCTGTACCTCTTGTGGATGGCATCAGAAAACCCAGGAGCAGATGGGGACATCAGAAGGGACACTCGCTCTGTCACTCCTCTAGGCCTGAGGGTACAGTGTCATGCAGGGGAGATTCTGGGGCTACACTGTCCCCCTCCGTTGACCCTAAACCAGTCACACTCCCCATCCTAGCCCTTGCTCCTGGGTATGTGTGCATGCCTTGCCTCACTCATGGCCACTGCCTCCCTGAGAGGCACCTGCAGCGCCTTGGGTAGTGGCCTTGGGATGTTACCTAGAAGGACACATGAGGGTAGAGGACTGGTGCTCTACCCAGGGTGTTCCTTCACACAAGACATTTCGGTCATTTGAGTAGTGTGTTATGACAAAAGCAAAACAGACACAAATGGAAAGTGAACTGAGCTGATTAGGAGAGCCTGTTGCCTAGCTACCGGCCTGGCCCGCAGAGCTGCTCCCTTACAGGCAGGCTCCTGGCCGGGATGCTCACCCCTGATGGAGCTGGACCATGGGCAGCTGCCTCTGTGGTTCTGTTTCTGTGTCCTGAGTTAGGGGCAGGCTGGTCTTGTTCTCACCTGCCCCACTACCTGCTGCCCTGGTCAGAGTCAGGGCTTCCCAAGGTGGCTTCGCAGAGCTACAGAATCACTCCTTTCTCTTTTTCTGCAAAGAGAAGTCCAGACGCCCAACGAATGGAAGCCTGGGACCCCCTCCTCTTTTCTGACGTCTCAGGAACTGGGCTGGTTTTAGCTCAGCTGTCAGCCCTTTTGAGGAGCATCATCCTTCTCCTTTGACTAATCAGTTTCTGAATAGATTTTTTTTCCCCACCTAAATGGAGGAGGTGGTCCACAGGATCCTGCTGCTCTGGGAGGGCAGCCAGAGCTGATTCTTCTTTTTCAGGCTCCAGTGAGTGGCAGGTGCATGGCCTATGCTTTCTTCTCCTAGTTCCTCTGGCTCAGGGGAGGCAGGGATTATTAAACTCAATGTACAGATAAGGAAACTGAGGCACAGAGCGGCTTGCCCAAGGTAGCACAGCTGATGGTAGAATTAGGATCCCAATCCTGGTCTCATGAGTCCAATTCTATGCTCCTACCACCGTCTCCCGTGGCTCTTGCCCAGAGAACATCTCTGGCTTCTGGAAGATTCAAGAGTAGTCCTCATGGAAGAGCTTCATCCCCCGATTTCTCCTGTCCTTAATTTCTATGCCTAGAATTGCTTGAGTTTTACCCTGTCTCTTGTTTCTTACTGGGGGACTTCCATAAGAAAAAAGAAGTGAGTCTTGGTTAGGAGTGAACATTAGGTTTCTCCTGGTCCAGGCAAAGCAGTGAAACCCAGGTCTTCCAGCGAAGAGATGCAGGGGCCTTCTGCAGGTCCCTGGCTTCTTTGGTCTAGCATTGCCTGGGGACTTGCAGTGGTCACAATAGGCTTTGAGGGAGGGCCAGCACTCACTGATCCTCTGCCCTCTGGGCTAGGACCTGGCTAAGGAAGATGGTGCCAGCCCCTCCTGAGGAGCTGCAGAGCTTGGGCCAGGCCAAAAGTTGCCGCCTCTTCACAGACCCTGCCTGGGGCAGCTTCTGTTTCCTCCTGGTTTGGGTTTTGTTTTGTGTTTTTCTTTCTCATTCTGAACAGACCAACATTTGTCTCTGAACATCTTGCCTGGGATGATGAGGTGTTTCTGTTTGTCACCATTTGGGCTGGGGTGTGGAGGGGAGGAGGGGGATAAAATAAACTTGGGCTATTTTGGAGAGCAGGGTGAGGGGAAGAGTACCCAGGAGCAGAGTAAGACAGCTGGGCCTTGGGAGCAGGGAGACCCCTGGATCCTTCCCCTCAGAGATGGTGTCAGTGGAGTGCTGGGCACCCGAACACGCATGCCAGCTTTGCTTCCTGGACACAGTCCATGTGCCATGACCCTGCTGGGGTTTTCTTCAGGCTGTGGGGTGGTCAACTAGAGCCCCATGTCTGGAGGTTATTCCTGGTCATACCCTTGTCGCCTCTAGCCACAATGAAAAGGGCTGGTGATCCCTTCTTCTAACAGAACTGGGAGAGGGAGTGGCAGTCACCTTGGTCGCAGTCATCAGAGGACACTTACTGAGCACTTAACTACATGGTGGACACCGCTGGGTTTTTAGAAGCATGCGGATAAGTGGGAGGTGGTCTGCACTCCTGAGGAGAGCCAGGTCAGGTGGCAATCAAGGGGAAAACAGCTGGTGAGAAATGACAGAGTAACACTAGATGGATCCTGAGAGGTGGCACAGGGTCATAAAAAAATGAATTCCAATAAGTGGCTAGAGGAGGGAGCTGGCAGTCCCCCTCTGCATGGAGAAGAAGGAGAAGTAGAGCTGGGTGGACTGAGCTCCCTTAAGTAATTTTTAGAAGGCAGGTTATAAATA